CTTCCAATATGCAGATGCGACAGCACTGTAATAAAAGTGAATGGAAAGTAAGCATTGAATATTTCTCTGTATGCTTTATATAAGTCGTGAACATAGTAGAAAAACAATACCTTTCTTTTTATTTTAAATTACATCCTTGTGAATTTATCACAATTAAATTTAGTCTTTTAGTTTTGTTATTTTCCTCTCTAAGAACAAAGAACATTTCCATACTCCTAGGACACATACTTTAACGTGCCAAAAGTGATGGGATAAGTATCTAGTATCATATAAAAACTCCCGCTAACCAGGAAAAGTGTAACAACCCGACGTGACATCGATTATACAATTGTCCGGGAAACTTTTACAGATAGGTTTCCGTAGTTCCATGGTGTTTGTAGGTGAATAATTCCATGTACGGACGTATGCGGCGCCATGAATGATCGATTCAGTTCATGTCTAGTGACGTGGCCGCAGCATTCGACAAAAGTCTTTTGAATGCTCGTCAAAACAATTCTGCACAACTTGGGTCTAATGAAATAACTGAATCTTTTGAAATAATGCTTCTTTTTGTTGGGGGGGGAGAACATGTAGTCTAAAAATGAACCTGAATCAGTGCAGTATACATGTGAGATCAATGAAGGGTTTAGACTGACCAGTGGATCTAAAATATGGCCCATGAACACACCCCACACTATTATAAAACGGTTACTAGTTTCATGGGTCTGTGTCATACCCGTACCCATCCAACAGCCTAAAACAATTGGAACAGTGACTCATCAAGCCATACCACACGTCACTAGTCATCGAAAGTTCGATTAGCAACGTCACGAATGCAGGTGAGGCGATGTTTCCGGTGATATGCGATTGACATGCTCATATTCTATATCTCATGGAAACTAACGAATACTTAACTAACCGGTTAAATATGAATGTGATTTCAGCTAGTGTCACTTGTATGTTAACACAAACAATTGAACCAAACGCCACTGGTATCGATCCTTATAGGCACGTGTTTGCCCACTGCGATGACAACGATGGGCGTTAAGTTTTTCATTTGGTATTCGCTTTACACACGTTATGGATCAAAAGATGTTAAATGTCCCCACAATTTCAGCAATTAAATGGCCTATCTGTCTGAAATTTACTGTCATTCTCCGTTAAAACTTCTTTAATTCATGTCGCTTTACTATAAGCAGCTTATGTTCGGACTATCTCACCAGATTTCAGAATACAACAAATTTATGTTTAGGCATTTCTATTTCTTTACATACTGCTATCACATGATTTTTGAATAACAACAAATTTTATAAAGTTTTTAAATTTAGTCATTTTTTCCACTCTTTTCTTTCGATATACTGCACACACACATATATATATTTTTATATATATATATATATATATATATATATATATATATATATATATATATATATATAATACTTTTTTCTCATTGCGGCCAATACATCATCATTGTATAAAATGCAGGCAGAATTTTTTTGTATTACATGACTGAACACTAAAGGCAGGCAAGCAAAGTGATCTTCAAATTTCATGTTTTCACCGAAAGAGTGAATAAATTGTCTCTATTTTTAATATATTATAGATTTATTAATGATTGTTATGTGAGAAGTGCATTAAGGAGAAAAACAAAAATAATAAGCATATGTTTTAATTATATTTTATAGTTCATTCCAACATCTGGAACATGTTTGACTCTGGAGACATTTGGAATTGGATCATATAGTCCCAGTAGTGTATATATATATATATATATATATATATATATATATATATATATATATATATATATATATATATATTTTGAAATGTTTGTCATTTCAGATGACTTTAAACTTATTTTAGCTGCGTACACGATGAATATAGGAAATATAAAGGGGTTGGTGGGAAAATGAAAGCGGAAAAATAAATTTCTTCTTTTTAGATAATCTCTAATAACTTTCAGTTTAGATTGTAGCGGTTTTTGTTTAGTTATTGACTAAAGAAAATGGAAGATGAAGAAGAAGTTGTCTTTTCAGGCGAGATCAGCACAACATATGATGATATTGATCAAACTTATAAGCAGAAGTAGTTTATAGTGAATCAATTCTCAATTGTAAATAAATGTTCTTGAATATTAGAGAAAAGACTCGTTCAAAAATTTAAATTTAAAAATGTGAAATAAAATAAATGAATAATATTTAAATAGAAGGCACGTGGCTGAGTAGTGGGCGCTTGATTGGGTTTATTAGAATGTTAATGTGGTTCCAACCATGAAAATCCGGGTTCGAATTCTTATGATCGTTCTATGATCGATTTGTGAAGAAGCATGTGGCACTGTTAACAATAGCTGGAAATTATACCACGTGTTAGCCCAAACATTTTGTGTGAAATTGGGTAAACTAGGTAAACGAAAATGTTCAGAGACCGTCGTTGTGTTAGCATAAAGTTACAAGTCACCGCGACCGAGAGTTTGAACGTTCTGAAATTACAGAAAGTGTAACTAAGCTTTACTTATAGCATAATTTCAGTACAAATTACAGACTATGTGTGTTGATGAAAACAAAATGGCGTCATCCCAAGTAGGATTCGCTGGCCACCCTATCAGACTAGATACTTTGAGTATATATTTATTTGTCAGCATGAACATAAAAAGGAAATATGTATAAAATAATAATGATACATGAATATAGATATTTGATACATTCTTTTCCATTGCAGTAACGCCTTTTAAAACCATTTTGCACATTACATCATATATACGTACATTTATATTTGAAAATGTTTAATCCTAACGTTACAACAATATCATGATGTAGCCAAAAAAATTGTCTGCTATATTGGTAACATCCAATTCTTGACAATGACTGAAACAGTCTAAATTAATTGACAAGAAACAGAACAAAAAGATCAACTTTGGTCAGTTTATCCAGACAGACTTTTTCCGTTGGAAAATTTATTTAAATCCTTCATGAGTGCATTGTAAAATAAAATTGAATTAAGAGATGAACAGGTAGCAGCCAAAAATGATAATGAAGTGTGAAAAATCTATATACAATGAATACATAATAATCCATGACTTTGTGAAAAACGAAATCGTTTTTACTTCAATATACAAGATTTCATAACTCACTAACTAGATAGTTAATAAAAAACCTAAAGAGGCAGAAAATCTAGAGACAGAAAAAATATACTGTGATTCACCTTATAATACCTATTCTAATGAAAATAGTTCTGAAGGTGTTACGCTTTATATTGAAAATTCTAACATGAATTTTTATTTATAAATAAATCCAAGAGATACAGGTGACAGGAGCATATTTAATTTAAACAATATTCTATATTGCTTTGAATATTGCTGCTAATCTGGTTTAGTGTTCCTGCTACATATTTAGAAATTCTTGATAAAATCCAAAGTAGAATCTGCAATAACATTGGGATTGACCTAGTATCTCGGTTTCAATCCCTTTCCCACTGCCGTAATGTCGCTTCCCTGTGCCTTTTCTATAAATACATTTATGGTAATTGTTCTAATGAAGTTTACTCTGTGATACTTAGACTTAATTGAAGCTCAGTACTATACTGGCGACACAGTCTAATCATTTTACAGTTGAATTAGCTAGATTTAACCGTAAGTTCTATGCTAACAGTTTCTTCTCTTGTTTCCCAGTCAATCTTGATCTCCAAAAATTTAAATGCAATATCAATCGTTATCTTCCATTTCTTAATTCCTGTTTTCTGTCGTTCCTGTGTGTTTCATCTCCTATTCTCTAACACTCAGTAACCTCTTCTATCATAGTGGCTTTATTGCCTCACTTGGGGGTGAAATGATTAAAACATAACTGAATAAATTATGTTACTTGTTAATATGATCTCCTTGATATTATGTAACATTCTCGATTTCGATTTTAACAATACTTTCAATAGTTTTTATTGCTGATTTACTTGAATATTTTTTTTTCATTTTCAAATACATCTCTATTAATAATGGACCTCAAATTTTCTATCAGATTGTCATCTGGAGAGGCTGAGAGCCATTCCATTAATTGTCTTTAAGACGTATATGCAATAATCAGCTTTAGTAAATGCATGAATTTAGTTTAAAGTTTCTTCGATGTAACCTTTGCCACTAGAAGAAAGTATTCTAATAATTCTACGTACTTACCTTAAAATCATCATCAGATTTTAAGGGACTTATAATTTTACTGCCCACAATTATAGGCAAAAACACTACCGCAGCACACATCATTCGTTTTCTAAATCGTTTTTGTTCACTATTTCCAAGAAGAACCAAACATCTCAACCAGTCTTCGAGTCAATAAAAATCTTGCTGTAAAATTATTGTTAAGAAATCAATTTCCATGTACTACTTCGTTCAGCTTATACGTGTCTGTTTCTGGTACATGCATAAAAATAGTAATTTGCTCGCGTTCAGGTTCTTCGAATTCTGCATTTCTCTCCATTTACATTCGCAATACCAAATTTTCCATTTTCCTTATTTATTACCCTTGAAATTTTTCTCAGACCTTTTTGTGACATGCTTAAAACCAAGTTTTTCTTGTTCTAATTTTGTTAATGGTTTCTTGTTTTTTTATTCTTTTATACAACTTTTACAACTTTTTCGTACTTTGCAACATTGTTTTCTCTTCCAAAAATAATTTTATAATATTTTCTTTCTCTTTCGTAATTATAATACCTCTTTTATTAAGACACATAATAATCTTTATCTATCCGAAAATAAAAGTAAATATCAATAACTATAGTATTGTATATATATTCATTTATAAAATGGCGATCAGCCCTGGAGATGCATCATAAAATCTCACAACCACAAATAAAATATTTCAAGTATTTCTAATAAAAACTATAGTATAAGCGGAAATTCACAAAATATGTTTACCATAAAAATATATACAAAAAAATTTCCCAGCATCGGTTGGCTAAATCCAATTCTATTCTGAAAAAATTGATTTGTAAAATGAAATCTCACAATATGAAGATATATCCAGATTGATATAAACTGGCTGAGATCTGTATCAGATAAGAAAGATATAAGCAACACATTACATAGATAGATAGATAGATAGATAGATAGATAGATAGATAGATAGATGGATAGATAGATATGAACAGACTGAGACATATATATGTGTGTGTGTGTGTGTATTATACTATATTTTCATATATATATATATATATATATATATATATATATATATATATATATATATAATGGGAGATAATTATATACAAAGAGAAAGGCAACTAGATAAATAGATCTCCAGCTTTCATAAATATGGATCTGGTGTAACGACAGAAAGATGCGCCAGTTTACGTTTCTCGAGACATTTATATTTAAAATCCTGTTTTTTAACTGTGCTTAAATGATCTGATAATTTGCGACAGGGACAAACTTTCTTAAAAGAAAGAAAGAAAACAAAGAAAGAAAGAAAAAAAAGAAAGAAAGAAAAAAAAGAAAAGAAAAGAAAATGATCAAAATCAAATAAACATAAGATCATGTAATCATAATTACGCTGTTTAATGTATTTTATTCATTACACTTTAATCCTTTTGTTTCTTTCTTCCTTTCCTTACAGTTTAGCTATGGACAATAAATGAACTTCCGTAATTTTCTCTATCCTTACAATTTATTTCACAAGTTATCTCTGCATTTTTGGACTACCTGCTTGTCAGACCTTCAAATATTCTATAACGCTTGATTTTTTTATAAATTTTTTTTATTTTTTATATTTATTTTTTGTTCCATCTTAATCCTTTCTAATGTTATCTTTCCCATTTATCTTTCAAGGAAGTTTTGAATTTATCTGGGTTTAGTTTCGTACTTCTTTCCAATTCAAATAATTTTGATTTAATCGATACTGCAAAGGAAGAGACTTTCTTTACATAGATATGAGTTTTTTTTAGAAAACAGACAAAAAAAAGCGCCAGATCTTTTATGATAAAAATCTTTTATACATTGTAGCAGACAGTTCTATCACCGTCATGCCAATTTTTCTCCTCTACTTTTCATCCATCTCTTTTTGCTTTTTCTTAGTTTGAATTACTGTCTATGTATCGGTGTGTGCTTATTTTTGGTTATATATGTATATGTGTTTCTGTGTGCATCTAATCATGACTTTCTATGTGTTTATGCGCATTTATGTGTTTGCGAATAGCTGTGTGTGCGTGTTTTTTTCTGTGTCTATTTCTGTGGCTATTATTGTATATATACTATTTTTTTATCATTTTCGACATTTCATACTCAATTTACATCATACGTTTCAGGAATTTGTCTTTCCCTCTTTTCTTTTCCTTCTATCTATCTATCTATCTATCTATCTATCTATCTATCTGCTTGTCTGTCTGAATGTCTGCCCGTCTCTCTATCGGTCTGTCTGTGTCTCACAAATTCTTTCCTGATGTTAATTGTCTGTATTTTTAAAAGGTCTACTCTCTTCATCTCTCTTCCACGTCCTCTCTCTCGATATTTCAACTTCTATCTTTCTCTCTCTCTCTTCTCTCTTTTCCACTCTGTATACACGCATATACACAAACACAGGCATATATATATATATATATATATATATATATATATATATATATATATATGAATTGGAAAAAAAGTTTTTGGACGCGTTTCATCCGTTAAGATTTCATCGGACTGATGAAATACTAATGGATGAAACGCGTCATAAAAACTTTTTTTGCAATTTGTCATATTATTTTTCTGAATACTGTTTGTTGATAAATAAAAATCATACAAAGTTATATATCCTTATATCATTTTATATTTTCAATTTCGCACATTCATGTTCCTTGTTTTGGATTTTGTCGATTGCACAGTATAATAAGGTCAGTTGGGCGTCGCCGTCTGTTAGAAAAAGAACCCCATGACGCAATTCACTTAGCCAGAAATTTGGAAACGACATACTGTACTGCTTGGCATTCGCACTGGAAGCTCCAATACGAACATTTCAGAATGTTTGGGTGTCAACCTGAGAACTATCCAGAGGATTCGGAAAGAGTTGGCTGATATATCCAGTCAACATCCAGTTTGGTGTGATCATTAGTGATGATAACGCTATGCCTCTCTTTATATTCCCACAGAGCCCCCGACTGAACACGTAGCCCTATATCGTCGAGTAGGTAGTTCTGCCCAGGCTCAAGAGGGTGGCTGCTAGAAAAACCTATGTTTGGGAACAGGACTCTGCATCATATCACACTAGTAGGAGAATCCAGCCATGGCTTTCAGGCAATTTCTCTGACCACATCATACCTTACATCTGACCATCTAACTCCCCAGTCTCTTGATTATTATGTGTGGGGCGCAGTTGAGCGTGAGACCAAAAAAAAACTCCTTGTAACACCAAAGATGAACTGAGGCAAGGATTATGGCAGCATTTACCACCTTAAACAAGGTGACTGTTCAGATAGAAGATGGAGATTCCAAAGTCATCTGGAGGCCATGGTTGAAGTCAATGTCGATTTTATTGAATAAATTTCTTCTTTCGTATTTTAAGATATTTTTGTGTAATTTTGGTAAATATATCTGTTAAAATAAGATGTCAGTGTTATTTTCATATTTCGCCCGACTCGTACTCCATGTTTATTTAACAGAAGTTGAGGTTTATACCTTGTTTCCTGTTTAGGATGTGATTTACCGGCTCCATTACCCCAACCCGAAAGCCACATCATGTTTTAGTCCTAAACAACTTCCACTCGGCTTGTATTCCCATAGACGATGGACAGTGATAAATATTTTGGTATATTTCTTCTAAAAAATTAAGATAATCAATTAAAAGAAATACGAGTAAAGAGAAATTCACCTATACACCTCTTCCCTTCTTTCCCCAATATTCTTCGTATCCATACCAATTTCTCTAGTGTAGAATCTTTTTTTCCATGAACCGTTCTCCAGATAACTCTTTTAATGCTACTAATGAATTCTTTGTTCCAGGTTATTTTCGTCTTTGTCGAAAAGATTTTAGTATACGTATCCATGGCCTTGGTACTTACACCCTGGAAAAATCTTGCAATGGATGTACCCGGATGTTTCTTAGATGTGCTTGCTACCTTCTATGTTTCACCGTTATCTATTTTTTTTTTTTTTTATCTCTCACCTTCTCAGAACTGTAGCATAGACAAAATATCTGATAGTATAGGAATTTATCTCTTTCTCACTCCTTCGCTTTCTCACTCTCTCTCTCTCTCGCTCTCGCTCTCTCACTCTCTCTCTCTCTCGCTCTCTTCATTCATCTATAGACATTTGGTGATTTTAAGGCTCATCATGTCAAATTGATTAATCATTCTAACGTTACTGCTGTTGCCGCTATTCAAACTTTCAATTTTTCTGTTGGTCAGTTTCTTAGTTAAATAGTGGAATTCCCGACTCGTTTCATGTTTTCTTACTTGATTTGTTCCTTAGCTCCTCTACTGGTTCTAGTTGAGTGTCGCAACTTTATCCTCTTGACAATTTGGATCACGCTATACTATTGATTGTTATTTCCTTGAGTCGTCTATTAAACATGAACTCCCTATTCACAAATCTTAAACTCGCTCCAGTAGTAACTGGCTTTCTGATTAGCTTGTTAACTATATGGTCGCCATAGGTATTTACTATTTGTATAGCATAAATGTGGTTTATATAGTGAGAACTGAAATACGTATTCTAACAACTAAATTTCTGCTGAATCATCAATAAGGTGATCGCAGACCAACGAAAATCTGAATTTTTATTTTTAGATTTGCTGGATAGTACTCGTAACAAACAATAAACTTATCGTCTGAATTTAAAGGTCACTGAGTTAAAAAGAAAAGAGGATGAAAAATGTCTTCAAAATTGGATTTCTGTCATCAATATTTTCTAGCCAATAAAAAGTTACATAAATACATTTTTTATCCAAGTAGAGTCCTAATTAGCAAATTATTTTCACTCAGCTTGAGCCCTTGAATAAATACAATCAATTTCAATAATCAATAATCAGCATCTATTGTTAAAAAAGCATTATTCAGTTTCTTTATCATTTACTCTATTAAAATTGTGCTTAGGAAATTAACTGTCTATATTTCTGAGATGAGGTTATTATGTACATTATTTACATTATTCGGACTATTGTCCTCATCTTTGTCGCCATATTTATTACAACGTTTTGGCCGTTGTACGCTCCGGCCTTCTTCAGGTGGTTGGAATGTCGAACAGAACCCTTTATTTCGCTCACTGGGGTAGACTGTTCTAGTTCCACGGGGGTAGACTGTTCTAGTTCCACGTGCCATGTTTTTAATTGATGTGGTTTATACGTATTCTAACAATTATCTCCTGTTAATTTCCCTCTGAAAGTTCTGAACTCACATTCTTTGGGTCCTGTCACTGGATCTAACTAACGCTTTTATCCACTGTGCCATGTGTCCTTGGTGTCTGGGTATTATAAACCTAATGTCTTCAGCAACCGTTTTTCACCAGTGCTCATATTGCAATTTTTGTTTTTATTATGGCACAGTGGATAAAGGCATTGGTTAGATCCAGTGACAGGACCCAAAGAGTGTGAGTTCAATACTTGATTAAGGCAGTGCAGAACTTTCAGAGGGAAATTAACAGGAGATAACTGATAACTGACATCCATTAAAAACATGGCATGTGGAACTAGAACAGTCTACCCCAGTGAGCGAAATAAAGGGTTCAGTTCGACATTCCAACCACCTGAAGAAGGCCGAAGCGTACAAAGATGAGGACAATAGTCCGAATAATGCAAATAATGTAGGAAATTAACGTTTTGCTATATATTTTTCTTATAGTGTTTTTAAGTAAAATTTGATGTGAATTATCCAATATTTATATATCGGTTTCGTTTGCTTCCAGTCAATCTCTACTGACCTAGAACTGAACAAACCTATTGCAAGTAATGTCTGCAATTCTTCTTCCTTATATATACATAATTATAAGTGCATCCTTTTGGTACAGATATGTGCTACACATTTCCTATGTGATTTTTGTAAATAAACTTTTCACGTTTTTCAGTCGAACTATTATACAACGCAGACCTTATAAATATGTAGATAGATACACTTTGTGTATTTTATCAAAAATAAATTTCTTGTTTTCGTAATACAACCTTTATTAATCAGTCATCTAAAACTGATGACGTTGACGTTTCAAACTGCACACATCGTGGACAACCGCTGTTCCTTTTAGGGTCCGAAGCACATATAATCTAAGATTAGTCCCAGAAGGCTGTCCTCCCAATCAAGTTACAAGTTGGACCAGAGTTAGTTACTAATGCCCAATGTGAAGTGAAATGCCTTGCAGCTGGAAAATTTCTGGAAATTTCTCACATGTACTGATTGCGGAGTACCGCTTTAAACTCGACTTTGTGATACATTCAGCCATCGTAGGAATATGGATAAACATCAGCTTCTGTAAATTTGATGATTTTACTAAACTTGTTTTTGTGTCGAATAAAAATTTAAATTACTGATATAATTACTATTTCGTTTACGAATGAACGTTTTTGTTTTCAATGAA